TGAAAATCGTCTCGCCTCCGATGCGGCAGCTGCCTCCGAGAGCGCGCATATCTGGCATCGGCAGCCGAAATAAGACGAGTGACGGAGCGAGCAGGGCTGCGAAAGTGGAGCGTGCTCTCGGAGCAGACAAGAGAACGGCGATTAACAGAGCAGCGCCGAATCTTCCCTCTGCAGCAGCCTCTTGCGAAGGAAACTCAGCTCGCCGGCGGAAAGAAACTCCCGAGTTTAATTGAATGTATTAAGGATCGCGTGGAGATAGTCGCGGACGAGGCCTAGAGAATTTGATATCTGTTATTTTATGGAGGAATCTCTTCTGCTTCGTGTTCATTAATCGTCTTTGTGCTATCTCATTTAAGTTCTAGTTAAGGAGAGACTGCGATAATATTGTAGTTGTTGGGTTACTCTTATCTTTTTCTTATAATTTTTTATCTTTATAGTGAAGCTCTAAGAAGATGGTTTGAAGTTTCGGTTTGAGAAGATAGAAGACAAATTAATTATGGAAGCGGAATAAGCTATTTCTTTTTTGATAAGGAGTGGTGGAAAAGTTTTCCTTAATAATAATAAGGCCAGGCTATGAGTTATCTTTTCGAAATATCAACTACTTGCGTACGGTAATATTAAAGTGAGAGACGGTATCTCTTTTGGTATGCAGTTTCTTCAGAAAATGTTTCAGTTGAATTTATTTTCAACTGTGTTTGAAATAAAATTACTTCTACTTATCTACAAAGATGTACTAACACGCTGCTTACGGGCTCATACATATGTTTTGATGATTCCCAAAGTTTGTTCGTCACTCGAATATTGAGTAATTAGTATTGCTAATCTTGGTGAACATCACTAATATCGCACTAAGAACGTGCAAAAACTCGCCTAACTACCAACTTGTTTATCAAGGTTAGAAACGAAAACCTGACATGTTCTATTTTTTGAGTGATATATTTTAATTTTTATGGTATTCACTGAATTTGTGCACGACTTCCATTTTTTATAAAGTAAGGGTGCGGCATTCACATCAGTTGTTTCAAGAAAATGTTGATGGATTTCGACTTTGCGAAACCGCACTACTGGTAGAATGCTCGCTACTCTAAATTAGTAAATTTATTTAAAAGTTTTTATAACTTTCTCTGTAAAATATAGATTAAAAATAATTATTAATTTTACACTGTTAAATAAAATCTATAAAATAGTTATAGTACTAGAAATATCAATAAAAAGGATTATTTCACATTTGGCAACTATCTATTGAAAGTTTGCAAATATCGTAGACTTTAGTGTTGTTTTTTCATGTAAATATTTATGTGTTAGAAGGTCCTGCAATTCATTTCACATCATTTTAAAATATGTTTTAAGCGTTTTGTAGCTTAGGGACTCAACAATCAGAATTATTGCCCGATTTAAATATAGTGCCACGTTAACATCTGGAGCAAAAATGTCTTTAATATGATCGGATTTTTCTCATTTTTGATTTCATATAAATAATTTTAAAAAAATTATAAACTCTGCTCAATGACGACAGAACTTTAAAAAATTGAATTTTCTGTTCTTATTTTATCATTTACATTGATATTCAACCTATCGTAATTTTCGGAAAGTTCACGTCTTCATATGGTTTTACAAATTTAAATCAAAAATATTTCGTTTAAATTATTACAAACTCTCAGGACACACCCTGCTTTCCTCACATGCAGGTAAAGGCTGATTACCTCAGTAATATTTTGACGTTCGCATACAAAAATGCAATAAATTGGAACACGTTCAAATTAATCTTCCGATTGAGTATTTCGTGTAATGTTAAAGGCGAAACTGAAGTTAATATATTCAACAAACTGCTTATAATTTACGAGTATTTTATATATATATTCATTTATTTTAAATTCTATTACATATTATTTTAATTTTGCAACATAATTTCTTTGTAATTATGAGTGCAGATAAAACTCGAGGTTTTACTGTCATATGGAACTGTTATTATTAGACTAGATGTTGGGTACATGAGAATTTTTCTCTATGAATCAATCGCTCACGAACTCTTAAAGAGTCATCGAGAAAGTTTGTGTTTAAATTCACATATTAAAAAATACTCTTCTGAATCGTTGTTCTTCGAGTCAGAATTTGCAGGAGAATGCAACGTTTCACTTTTCTGTTACTATAGACTCTCGAATGAACAGAACCTGGTCGTACAGCCCTTCGAATGTTAGACACCCAAATGAAAAATAAAAATACTGTCGTAAATTACGTAGCTTGTGTAATGCTTTTCATTAACACAGGAAGTGTAATTTGATACCAATTTATGATTTTAGTTACAACAATTTCGAATAAAAAATGTGACTTGTTAAGCCGAAAACTGCTTTGGACGGACAGACTCCGGTCCCTTCCAGTCCGTACAATCGCGAGTCAATTCCACGTGTAACGCAGCTGATATGTTTGTCGGCAACATGGCTCTTAAAGGCGAAGGGTGCGCAGAACGCAATCACTGAACAATTGTTACGATTTTCTGCTTACATTAAGGACACTGGGCTTGAAATTGTCAGTCTATATTACACATTTATTAAATTTGTGTTGTGTTGTTTGTTTTAATAAATTCGCAAATTTAGTATCTTCGTTTTGCCTGGTTGTCCGTAATACATGGCGAAAATTGGAACAATAATATCAATCAATTGGGTGTAATACCAATAATTGAACCACATTCAGTAATGAGAGAGGGGCGTGGCTCACCTTTTCGTAGACGGGCACGGGGTGCGGTACGGGAACGGGCACGGGATGGGGCACGTGCACCGGCACGTGGTGCGGCACGGGCACGCGCACGATCTTGATCTTGGGTGGCGCGGGCACCTTGTGGAACACGTTCACGTGCTCGTGGATGGGCGCGTAGCCGTGCCCGTCGTGGCTACTGCCGCCTCCGCCGCCCCCGCCTCCTCCGCCTCCGCTCGCGTCCACGCTGCTGAAGCCGAGGTGCGAGGCGAGCGCGCCCAGGTCGAAGTGGCCGCCGCCCTCCGCCGTGGAGCTTAGCTCAGCGCTCCGCCCGCCCTGGATGCTGTAGCCGCCCCCCCGCCGCCCTGCTCCGCCGCGTGGCCATAGCCGTAACGCCTCCACGCTCACCCCAACGCCCATGCCCACGCCTGCACTCCCGTGGCCCAGGCCGCGCCGCACCAGCGGGTGGTGGTCGGTGATGACCCGTGACCACGCCGCCGTCACCAGCGCCACCACGGTGCACATCTGCAACACAGCGAACACACGGCCTTACTACCGATTGATTTATTAACAGCCATATTAGTTACGTGGTTCATAATTTTGGTAACCGATAAACCTACTTTGGAAATGTTTTAATGATTTCATAATAAAACACTTGTTTTCTGGTCATTTTTCATGGTAAAGTTTTTAATATTTTTCACCAGTATAGAAAAGTGACCGGAAATAAGGAAAGGATTGTAATTTGTACCTATTGGAGTGACGCATGACTCATTTTTCGGTACAGATTTCATCCAGTTTCAGTACCGCACTCTTGATGTCTCTCCCAAACGTTTTCTTGTTTGATGTGCGTGTGGTGTGATTTGTTCCTTCAGTGAAATGGCGAGAGCTTTACAATGTGTTGAATTGTATAATGAAAAATATTAATAAGGTGGGAATTAAAACATATTCTGGGTTGTTAAGTCCCGTTCCGTGCTCAGTCATAAAACAATGAAGGAATTGTACATAACCTTTTTTTTAAATAGCTGATTTTTTGGAACACTTTTTGCATAAGAAAAAATCTCTGTCTTCATTTTTGTAGTTTTGAAATAAAAACTTTTTGCAATTTTGAAAAAACGGAGAGATTGATAAAAATGGAACTAACACTATATGTTTTATCGTCTCATATGAGGAGAAAATATAAAGAAATAATTTGGTGGGGTTTGTGAAAACAGTTGTTAAAAACAATTCATAGCCAATATTTTACACAAAATTGCACACAAAATTACTTATATGTGATTGAACATTACTTTACTTCACGACCTGTCGTTAAGGGAAAAATTTCATTAACAAAAAAGTCTTTATCGTCTTTATCGTATTATCGTAATATTGTAGTTTGAGGAAGACGTAAAAAATTACACTTTTCCAATTTTCGAAAAATTTGGGATTTAAACGAACATGAGAATTGCTCCATACTCTTAAGCATACTTTACGGAATCTGAGAACCAAGTTTAATAATATAAAATAGCAGACATTTCTTAAAAAATGGAAAATGTTTTCGAAGTTTCATGTTAAATGCCCTCAAAAATTAAAATATTCATTATGCTAAATAATAGATGTTGTCTGGTATCAATAACTTCATTAGGATTATACTTTATTAGGCTAATAATTTTATTATGCTAATATATATTTGACGCGATCGAAACGATTATACGCCTAATAAAATTATTGATACCAGAAAACATCCTGTATTTGTCATAATAATAGAAGGTATCTACTTCACCAGAGATCTAATTAATCTAAATATTCATATAAAACTCTCAAATACTCAGCTCGTTTTGATCGATTGGGGACTATCAATTTTGGAGAAATAGGGAGGACTATCGATTTAGGAGAAAATAGGCTGAACGGTTTAGGTGCAAGCGGCGATCACAGTCGGACGGACAGACAGACGGTTGCTATCAAATTTTTCGGAGTCAAGGACCCACAAAACAATGGATTCTGACGACACCAAAAGGATTTATCCACTTTTGTGTTACCAGAGCCCGGTAATAAGAGTTTTTCGGCCAAACATTATTCTATTTCCGGCGCAAATAACTTTATCTTCTTGCGAAGTAAGTGCGAGAAAGTAAAAGCAAGTGTTAGGTTTGAAACCGTGTTTCACACGAAAATCGTCGTGAGAAGGAAGTCAAAATGCAATGTCATCAAAATGCTGAGAAAGTAGTGTGCATAAAAGGCACTTTGGGCGGCAATTCCTATATCCTCGGTGTTCTGGATTCGAATAGCTGCGTACGTGGATTCTGGAAGTGCCGTTCGCTAGCGGAAGCCCGAAGATGGCGCGCAGCAGTCCAGGGTTATTTCAAACTTCGGACAAGTCTCTTTTCACATCCTGTGCCGTGGGATGTTATGCGAGTTTTTTTAACCTTCTCTTTCTGGAAATTGGGGTTAGTCTCCATTGAAATTATACCGGTAGACCCACAGCTCCAAATATTGGTCGGTAATCAGGCTTCGTTTGCTCCAGTAACAACAGGTTTCACTATGTAGTGATACAAAAAGAGGAAATGAATTAAAAATGTTGTGTTTGACGATGTTCTTTTTAATGTGTAAGTATCTATTAATACATTCAATATTGTTACTTAATTAAGTTTAACGCAACATTACCACAAAAATCGTACGTGTGTCGAACTTCAACCAGAGTACTCAACAAAAGTGTTGCAACTTTGTTGCAGGTTTTTTAACTAAACTTACTTCTAGGAGGTAAAAAAATCTTTCCATCAAAATATCGACTTAAATTTTATCATTTTACTATGATTAATCATATTCCTTACATACAAGAGCAGACAAAACTGCAAATTTAATGGTTTTTGCTGACTGTTTCCAAACAATTTTAATAGAATCTGCAATTTTGTCTTTTAATGTTTGTCACTCAGTAAACGATATTGTGCTTGTACACTCCTGTCTTGTTAGCGTAAACCTCAACGGAAACGTCTTATAAATAAATAAATTAGTATAAGCAAACTACATAAATAAATTTATGAACAGAAGAAAGATTTCCACAAATGCTCACGTGTCTGACTTGCACGTAAATCGCGGCATCTTGTAGAGGAAAGCGTGAGACCAGGAGGTGTTAACAATTCAGAACTTCAGTAACTCATATCTCACGTACAAGACTTTCACACGGCACGTCAAAGCAATACTGTTCCTTCCATAACTATGCTTTTCAAAGTAATGAGTTAACGGTCACGCAAAGATATAACAAGTTGTGAGCGACAGGTGTGAAGACTTTTCTTTTGAATGACGTGACAAAGAAATAGTATGTAAGAAAGAGTGAAAATTACAAAGAACAAAGAATTTTAGTATTAAAATTCGAATGCTGGTTGTGAATATTTTGCTACAGCGGTAGTTTACCCGTATTTCATTGTTTTTACGATTATATTTGCATAAAAGTTGAATCAATAGTTTCTATCTTTTCTTAGAATTTAATCATATGATTTTTAGTAATATTTGCGAATTTTAAAATATGTCTTGTATTTAAATTATCTGCATGAACAGAAGTGGTTAATATTTGTTATTATGGGTAAAATGACAACAAACAAAATTAGTAATATCGCTCACAGGAATTATCACATTACGTAGGAACTGAGAGAAGATAGTGTCGGGGATTTGTTTATGTAACAAAATAAAATATTGACATAAAATTCGTGATGTATTTAAGCGAACGTTGTATTGATGCTTTTTGTGTGGTATGCCAGTTTTCTGTTCACATTATCGGAGAAAGAATACAGATGCATTGTTTTTCCGCTTTGGACACATAAAATTGTATACCTTTTTGTACACGTTATTTTATTTATATTTTTACGTCACTTGTGATTGTGAAAATAAGGGAAGTAATATTTATTTCAATGAAACGAAATAAATTCTTCTGAAATATTGTACAATTAACGCCACTTTGCAACGCACAATCACTCGAAGTGAGAATAATAGTGCATCTGTAAACGTTTCCTAGTAAAAGAGGTTTTGAATCAAAAATAACACATGTATTTTTAGAGGCGGAATAAATAGCCGTTGCATTCTTCTTGGCTTATGAAATCGTAGGCATAATTGATCGGCGAGGTAATGTCGCGTTCTTCTCTGCTGACTAAACTTTGACGAACATCTATTAAAATTCAATAAATATAACAGTTCTTAGTCAATGACACCAAAAATTAAGATTTCAACTTGCGATAATTCAGTTTATTTTTCATTTTTATTTTTTTCTGAGGTGCACTAGGTAAGGTCACCTACCAATATCGTATTTTATAATATCATCCATATTTAAATATAATTTTCATATTTTATTTTTTTATTTCTACCAGTTCATTTTTTTTTACAAATGTTTCAGTTATTTGAATAAAATATAAATTACAGAAATTTTTGTTCATATACCAGAGATTTACATATTAGATATACAAACCTATTAATATCATTATATAATAGATATTTTACCCACAGTTTACTATTAATGATATATTTTCATTATATTCCATGTGTGAAGTGAATAATAAATTGAATAAAATTTATATAAATAATATTATAAAGTTTTTATTATATATACATACTATGTATATATATATATATATATATATATATATATATATATATATATATATATATATATATATATATATAGAAACCAGGAACGGTAAAAAATATATTTTATAATTCTGAGAAATCTGTTTAATTACGCAATATTACTGTGAAGTCATGATGTTTTGTTCTTCATTAAAACCACAGCATTTCAATTGTTCATTAAAACAACGAAAACGCATATATGTAGCTTGAAATATGCTTAAAATAAATTGGGAATATTGGGAATATGTGTGTAATTTGGGTATGTTCCGTTCATCTGTCGTAATGAACTTTTACAACTCGCAGAAGCTAATTTCTTTCACACGAATATTGAAGAATGGGAATCAAAGTCTTAGTTATATATCTTGTCACACCGTCAACAACACAACTCAACTCAGATTCAAACGCAGTAAAATCATAAGATTTTGAGAGAATATCTTCGATTCGCACACCCTCATTTAAAAGAAAACAATAACAATATGATACATATGAGACGAATATGGTATATATAAGAACTTTAGGGTTAAAAGAACTCTGAATATATTTTTGATTTCCTGCTCAATATTCATGTCCATAGTGCAATGTGACGACAAGCCTGCTACATATGCATCTGGTATTGCAAAACAAGAATAAAGAAATTTATCTATGGTTGAATAAATATATGGTCACATCTCTTAGGAAGAGGATTAGAGAAGATGAAGTTTTATGATAATTATTGAATATACATATAAATGTGGAAAACATCCTGAGCGATACCTCATTTCTTGCACCTTGAGAGGGCACCAATGATGTCAACCACTGCGCGGGTTTCAGGGAAAAGACAAGATGAGGAAAAGCCGTGTTTGTTTTTTTTTGCGTACTTGGTCGTATGCAAGCGTGTGACCGGAACGCACTCCACACTGCCGCCGCCGCCGCCTTTGGGAGCAGGCTTCGCCTCAGCAACCCCGCCAGAGGCGCTGCCTGCCTATGTGTTTCAGTGTGTCAGGTCCTGCAAGACCGTTGCGAGTCCCGTCACGAACTCGTATTCCCTGGTGAAACCTGCAGGTTTTTTGGACAAGAGATGTGAGTCTCAGTGGTGGCGGATTTTCGACACTAGCTGAGATCGAATTCAGAGATCGAATTCATCCACTATCAGAAGGAGAATTCTTGCGACTAGATACTCAGATTAGTAGTTTTCCGTGGCTTCAATACCAGTCGAATGCCGGAGCACGACCCTAACACACAGGCCACAGACCGTGCGTTATGTTTCCTTGTTCATTCTTGTCCACTTCTCTCCTCTTACACGTATGAACGATTAATACGTAAGTCAGGACACCAGTCGGAAGCCCACTGGGACAGATATGTGGAAGCAAATCAACGATGAAAGTCGGTGCCCGATTTCATGCGGGGGACGAACACCACAACTTCCGGAGATGTAACGTAAACTATACTTACGTAACTAATTATATAAGTAGTTAATGTAATATGAATCAATAGATATCTCGTAGGAATCGGGGGCATTGAATCGATTTCCAATGTATCCATTTAGAATATTCAGAAAATAATTTTAAGTCACATCCAAGGGCATTCCAGAACCGCAAAAGAACAACGAGGAAGGGGTCGACGCCGGACTTCACAATTAATTACATATATTTGAAGGATTTTGTTTTTTGGGGTTTTATCCAGCTGACAAACGGTTTACGACCAAATGCGACACGTATTCGACATTTACCTTGACTTACACTTGCTTTGTTTATTTATTTATTTATTTATTTATTTATTTATTTATTTATTTATTTATTTATTTATTTACTTATTTTAGTTATTTATTGAGGTTTAGAGGCTCTTCATCCGCTAAATTGTTTGAGATCTACGAGTGATGCAATGAGTAGACGATAGTGACAGCGATGAGGGAGTAGCGGTGAGTCGCGCCATTCACGCGCCTGGGATCCCCGGCAGCCAGCCAGCGCCCAATTACTCGCTCGACGCCCTCGCGACAGCGCGTGGAAAACGCGCGCGTGCGTTTTGAAGATGCAGAGCTTGCCGCACGCTCCGCTGCCGCCCGGCAACAATGCACTCAGTCGGCGGAGGACCACGCACTAGCGCCTTCGGGCTCCTGCTCCCGGCGACGGCCTAGCAGCGCCTCTGTTTGGGCCGGGAAGAGCGTCTCGTGTATAACCTCTTGTTTTGACGCGAAAGCCACGCACCTCCTCGTCGTGGCAACTGGTGCTCGGTCGGCTGTTTGTTCTGTGATGGACGCACGAGATTCGTGTTGGAAGTATTGTATCGGGTTTTCAGGGGGGAACATGGCGTTTCAATGCTTGAAAGGCACTTTATTGTTGGAGACGTCATTCGGTGTTTTTCGTTTCTATTTTTGATGTTCCGCTTTTGTTTCTGCTTTTCTCCGAGTTTCAAATGAAAGCAGCTATGTGAGATAATGTCGCTTTGAAATGCCTTACAACTGGAGGTATTGTTGGAGTAACAATGTTCTTCTCTCCCTACTGTCGAAAACTGATTTGCAAATAGCTTGTAATGCAGGTTCAGAAATGAATGACAGTGGAAGTAGTCTTCAGAAACCGGCTGAGTAGGTTCACGATATTAACAGATGTAACTGCAGAGCCTCTGAGAGCGAGGTTCTAAGGTTCGAGTCGTTACGATAACAGGGTTTTCAACAGGACTAGGTCAAATTCATTCGTTGCCTGAAGGACAATTTTAGCGGTCGATGACTAACGGCGGTAATTTTCGGCGGTTTCTCCTCTCCACACCACGCGAATGCCGGAGCAGTACCCTACACAAATGGGCCACGGACCGCGCCAGTTACGTGAATAAAAGAATCACAATTTATATAACACTCATATAATGCTTATTTAATGGAGGAGGCGGAAATAGACTTTAATATTGCTTATCTAATGTATAATTTTATCTTTTAATTAAATATTTTTCTGTTGGTAAATTTCAAATATGGTCAATCTAGATTGTGTTATCGGCAGACATTTGGCTCACTAGAGACGATGTTGTGATACGTTTACGGTAAATACGATAAGTTTACTAAAATATTTGTTTACTTTCATATCAGTATTATCAATGCCGTGGTTGGATCTCACTTTATTTAACGACATTTTTATGGAGATGCCAATTTAATTTAATGTTTTGATAATAAATATTAACTGTGACACTGTGCAACTCAAAAATTACTAAATGCGTTCTCAAACAAAGGGTTACTACGAATAAAATACAGAAATTTAATTTGTACCAAGAACAAGCGAATTTTAACATGATTATTTAAATTGATATGAACGAAACCAAAATTGTTTAAGATATTCCATCTCCTCTAAATGTACTTCAAATGAATTGACAATTGCACGCACGTTCTGTTGTTGTCCACAGAACACATGTGCGACTGCTCTTTCTGAAGTTTGCTGATGACGCTTGCCGTTTACCAAGGTGCTCTGGTTTCAATTCCAGGACAATCTCATGTGAAATTTGTTCGGACAAAACGAGTTTTTCTGCTTCACATGGGCTATTACAAGCCATGTGAAGCGGCCTAAACCCTACCGCAAGCCTTATTCTTTCTCCATTCTGGCCATTTGGTAGTCTCGCGGGACACGCAAAGAGGCACATACGTGGAGATGATATCTGGTGGTCCTCTTGATGACCTTACGGTTATCCCAGTGTTAAAAATCATTGATGTGATCGCTAATGACTTTGGTGTTAATGCGTCCTTAAATATACCATTTTTTTTAAAAAAAAAGCTTCTCTGTGGGGTCACATCACTCTTTCGAGGTTTATCAGGAGCATTTAGAAGAAAAGATTTTTCTAGGACTGCTCATAACTTTAGTGCTAAGGAACCACATGATATATGATGTAGTATATCTTCTCTACCAATTGTAAGCTACTAAATATTTTAAATATCTATCTTATTCGTTTATTGTGTAATGAATGAAATAAACGTCAAATGATTAGGCAGGAGTAAAAAGAATTAATCTTTCCCAATAAGAAATGTATTTACACAAAATATACATTTTTTATACATTTTTCTTTATATATCTAATAGGAAGTACATGTATGCGTGGCATGTATTTAGGGTAAATATATTATTATTGTGGAAGACGACTTCTTTTTACCTATTTATATGAATTTCTACAATATTTCTTCCATAACCGCGTTTATAATAGTCAAAAATATTTTAAGCCAATTACTGCGTAAATACCTTCAGGAAAATGTATTTGTATTTACACAAGTATTGTTATGTATCGAAACATTTTGAAATTAAATTTCAAAATGAAATTATTTGATAAATTTGTTAAAGAATGGATCCTGCAGTAATAATGAAGCAGCTAAGTAGTAAAAACGAAAACTCATAGCAATTTATGTTGAATTTAAAAAAAAGTAAGTTATGCGTCATGTTCACTATTTTCCATAACATTAAGTGAATTTACTTTTAAAGCATTATTTAGTAATTTAAATTTTATGAAATGAAACAACATCAAATGTTCTTATTTTATTCAATTCCATTTCGTAATGTGAGATCTCAACTATTTTTTGTCAAACTGCAGAATTGATTTTAATGAGTTAAAATACAAATCAAAGCCAATAAAAATGACCCCCACTCCTTATAAAATTGGATGATGTGTAATTGATGTACACAAATAAGAAAAAGTGTATGAATGGCGTTATGTTTGA